GAAGGCCAGCTCCACTCCCTCAGGAAGCTCCAAATACTTGCTTATGGGGATAAAGACTCCTAGCCTGCTGACTACATCGTTGCCCTTGTGCCCTCCTCAAGATGGTCCAGCAGAGAAAGAGAAGCCAGTACACAAGTCTCTCTATCTCACTTTTAAGGGCATTTAAGTCCCCACTCAGGCTGCCAAAGGAAAGCAGAATTGTGCTGGCTCAGCTGCCCAGCGGCTCTGCTGTGGACCCTCATGGGACTCTCCTCAGCTTGGTGCTGCCCAGGAGAAGACCTGTGGTGTCATAAAATGCAAAAGAGTTGACCCCAGTAATCATGCCCTCCTTCTTGAAATATGTTCCTCACTTGGCTTTTGTGAGCCATTAATCTGATAATCTGATTTTCTTCCTTACATTAAGGGCTGCTTTTCTAAATCTCTGCTAATTCTCACCTTTCTTCTGAACCTTTATAATTTGAAGTTGCCCCAAGGCTAAATTGTTGGACTGCTTTTCTTCTTCCCTCTCACTTACTCCCTGGTGTTCCCATCCAGACTTATGGCTTTACACCTATTGATTCTCTGGTCTATAACTGCAGCCTCAGTATCTCCTTTAGGTATCTAGTTGTTTCTTCCCAAGTATCCATATTTACATGAAGCCTAATATGTTTAAACCTGCACCCTGATGTCCCTCCATTCCGGCATCTGTTGTTCCTCCACTACTCTCTCTGTCTTGGTTCACAGTAACACCATTCACCCATCTGTAACGACACTGAAAGCACCCTCATCCCCTAGGTGTGGTGTATGAGCAATTCTATCTTTCAGGTGTATTTTGAATTCAATCACCTCTCTCCAGAGAGCCACCAGTCCCCTCCTGTCTAATGGACCATTACCTTCCTTGGACTTCTGCAATGGTTCTCCTAAATGACCTCTGTTTCTGTTCTTGTAGGCTCTCAATTCTTTGCGCACAAGTCAGAGTGATCCGTGGAAAACATGAACCAGATCAAACCACTCCTCGCCCTGTGCTCTCCAGTGGGCTTCATCCTACTTAGATCAACGTCACAGTCTGACTGATCTCGAAGACCCTCAGCCCACCCCTCCAGCCCACCCCCACCCCTCTCGCCATCACTCACCAAGATCAGCTGCATGGGCCTCCCTGGGGTTCCTTGGATACGCCAACCACCCTCTGGTCTTAGGGCTTTCACACATGGCGCCTCTTCCTCCCTTAGGGCATGGCTGCCTCCCTTGATTCATTCAGGGGTCTGTTTCAACCTCACTTTCACAAAGAGTGAAAAACCATTAAAAAAAACCGTTAAAAAAATACTCAGCCCTCATCACTCTTATAACCACACTCTGCTGTATTTTTCTTGCAGAGCATGTATCACTATGACATACTGATCTTTAACAATTTAAATCTTTGTTAGTCTCTCCTATAAAAGTATAAGGTCCTGAATGCATGAGTGACGTGTAGGCCTAAGGACTACACCTACCTCATTTACTGATTATCTCTAGTGCCTAGCACATAGCAGGTGCTCAATAAATGTTTGTTGAATAAGTAAATGAACAAAGGAACACCTAGATCTAATTTAAGGGGGTTAAGGAAAGAAACACCTGTGGGGACCAGAAGGGTACATAGGAAAGCACTGGCCATCCAAAAGTGTTCCACAGGTTTTGAAGCAAGTTGAGAAGTATTAGGGTGGAAGTCAGGTGGGAAGAAAAAAGCAAGCTACAATTAAAAAAATAAAAAGATATACAGTGCCCTGTTGAAAGGAAAGAGGCTAAGAATAAAGAATAAGGATTTTGGACTTAAATACTTCCTGAGACCACAGAAACCTGAAGTGGGAATGAATATAATATAATAAGGAGAAGGACATTCTAAAAGGGTGAGATGCATTATAGAGAAGCAGAGGGAGAAAGAAGAGATGGGAAAGAATAAAAGTCTGACTCTATTGTGTTTACATAAAGCCGTGGTATCCTTAACTGAGTGTTTGTGTAAATAGTTTTGGCTTTCCTGGTGGTGGGAAAAGAACGGTGGGAAGAGTGTATGTACACTACGGAAATTCATTTTGCAATTTTTGAAGAGCCTGTGAGAAGTGAATGTAATCACAGACGGGAAAGTACAGAGAGTTCTGCCAATGAAAGGTATTGTCATGAAAAGAATGAAAAGCCAGGATGTGAGAGTTAACGCTGGGGAGCCTGTGCTCAGAATTCCAAGCATCCAGCAATCCAGGGCAGTGGGTAGAACTCCTGTTGCCAGATAAGCGAGGCAGTCAGTGATGACTTTTCGATGTAGCCGCTACCAGCAGGGAGGTGGACAAGGGAAAGAAAGAGAGATGCCCCCTGGAGAACCCTTGGCCTCAGAATGTTAATTAGCTAATCTAGCTTAAAATATAAATATATTTTCCATGCCATTTCACTCATCCAGAAGCCACCCCTTTGGCAACATTCATTGCAAACCATGCAGGTGAGCACATGCCCACAGGTAGAGGCAAGGGTGTGACTCAGAAAGGACCTGAACGGGGATACAGTGTTCCCCAACAACCAGCACACGACAACAATAACACCTCCTGCCAGAGGATGGCTTCTTCCTTTGACCTACACTCCCTCCTAGGTAACGGGAAATCTGTCCTTCCTGTCGTCTCCGTCAGAATTTGGCATTGAACTCTGAAAGACACAGCCTGCAGCCCTGCTGGAAGTGTAGCTGAGAGCTCCACGGCCATGGCGAAGGCGCTTTGCTGAGAGTTCTCCTAGGCCAGCTCTGACATCCTGCAATGCCAAAGCCAGAGGGCCTCTGCCTTGTTCACCGCATGCATCTTAGAATGATCTGGAGAGCTGAGCCAGAAGCACCAGTCCTGATGCTCTCCATGCCAGAGGGAAGGAGCAACTCTTTCACCCAAAAAGGACACTCCTTGCCAGGGACCAGGGCTGGAAAAGCCAGAGAAGACCCAGCCTCTGCTGTTGGTTGGCACTTTCTTTCCTCTTCTGTCTTGGAAGCAGTGCCCTGGGCAGCCTTTCTCACTCAGACAGGAGTGATGTCCTGCCTTCTCATTGCCCCCTCCCACATCCCAGATGCACACGCCTACCTCCCTCCTGCAGCCTCTCTACTGCCCTGCAGAGACTGGGACTTAGAACAGAAGCTGCTCTCTGGAGGAACACTAGGCAACCTTGTGTCCCCAGCCAAACTCTCTGGGCCGCTGCGACAGGCACAGCCCCACCATATGTCACCTTCCCAAGCCCGACACATTTTCCAAATACATTTCTAGGATGAGCAAATGAAACAGCAGTCACAGCTCCGCTTGGGACCTGAGACAACATTGAGAACTTCCTCTGTGCTTTCCACCCACAAGCAGAAACTTCCCTGAGCATATACTGCTTGGGATGAGAACCCTGACGGACCCAGGAGGATGTGCTAGGACTCCCCTGCAGACATACCAGAGATCTCTCCAGTACTGTGAAAACAGCAGCTCTTAGACTAACAGGACAGCTTGTATTCCCACAGCAAAGTTTAGATAGTTCTCTTAGATGCCCAGGGAAGGTAAGAAGATGGATAAGGTTGGTATCTGCTCCTTTCTCTCACATATTTTGGCAATTTGGAGCTGTATCAGTCGCAATAGGTTGTTTTATGCTGCAGTAACAAAAGAACCCCCCAAATTTCTTAGGTACAAACAATAAAAGCACATTTCTTGCCCATGCTGCATGTCTACTGAAGACAGCAGAGGGCTCAGATCACTGGAGTCATTCAGGATTCAGACTGATGGAGGAGACACTACATCAAACATGCTGAGTTAGCAAATCAGAAGGAAACAAAATCTGGAGAGGGTCTTGTATCAACAGTTAAATGCTCCATCTAAAAGCGACACAGGTCTCTTCCGTCCATGCTGCGTTGGTCAGAACTAGTCATTTGGATACATCCAATCACAGGGAAGCCAAGAAGTGCAGTCCTATCCTGCTCCCACAGTGCAAAGAACCAGGAATGTTTGGCCAACAGCACTAATGATGACCAGAGTACATGGGGTTAGGAAGCCAGCTCCTGGTGCTGGATCTCTAGGGAAAAGACTGCACTTTGCTTCAAACTTAGAAGCAGCCCCTCACCCTTTGCTGTTAAACTTGAAGCCAGCAGAGACACTGTGATGATCCCAGTGGGAGGGTCAGGAGAGGAAGTAATGGCCAGAGGGTCTCCTGTAGGAGAGATTTTTTTACCCGCTGGTGACATTTATTGGACAACATTTACTATGATGGCTGGTTCTTGGAAACATGACATTTGAATGTTTATTGATCCCATAGCATGCTGGCCGGGCCCCAGGAGATGCTCAGAACTGAGCGCAGAGCCAGGATGGCCAGCTGCACTGTATAAAGTGGGGCTGACAGATGCCCCTGAATTCAGCCCACTGGGGGTATGTCCTCCTCACCCCAGGGGCGCATGGGAAGCCTTGGAGCTCAGTCCTCCTCTCATAGAGGCCAGGCAGCCTCTGCCCAGGAGGATGAGCCCTGTGACTAGCTCTTCTTTTGCTTTTCTTCAAATTCACTTCTGGGCTTGCTCGCTTCCCAGTAGTGCGGCGAATGTCAGCAGCCACAGGTACAAAGCCTTCTATCCAGTCCCTCCCCGACACGCTTCCCCAGAGCCTGGGAGCATATGCCAACTCCAGTCTGTCGCTGTGCTCCCATCCCTCTCAGAGCCTCCCCTCCTAGGAACCAGAATCTCAGTCCCAGCAAAAGGTCTGTTGGGATTCCCTCTTCCATCTGAGCCATGCCAAAGCTGAGAGTGAGTGCAGCAATTGAACAGGTATGGTGGCAGATGGAGACTGAGGCCATGCCTTCCTGGGGAGGGAACCCTAGGGCCCTACAGAGCCTGGCTGCACTGTAGTAGTGGGAAGGGCCATGTGGAACCCTGTTTGAGTCAGGGGTGTGACGCCCCTCAGAGAGGAGGCTGTGACTGGGCCTGGGCAACACAAGGACTTAGAGGAGCCTTTGGAAGAGGGCCACACAGGGAGAAGTTCCAACAGGCAAGACAGGTTGGACCCATACCAAAGCTAGCTTAGTCACCTTGCATTGCAGAAACTGAGACAGAGGGTGGCTTGTGCCTTGCCCAAGTGATGTAGCCAGTCACCGGCCTAACAGGGGCAAGCTCTCAGGAATCCTGGCCCAGTACCCTGTGCACAGCTGCCAAGTGGGAGTGGCTGTGAATGCCGAGGACTCTGGACAGCCAAGATGCAGCCAAGTCCTCTCTGGACTTCTAATCACAGCAGTGCTGAGAGGCAAGCGCATAGAGGCCATTGCTCAAATGCTTGAGGATTCAGAGGAAAAAGCCTACAGGTGCAGAGGCCAGAGAGGAAGAAAGGTAAAATGCAAGATTTTTCTTCCATAAGATTAATCCTACTTTGATTTATAGTTCAGGCTCTCGAGAGATTTTCCATTGAATTTGGGCTTTTACTGCTTGCATATGGTTGACAATAGTTAAGTCATGATTTTTGAGCTTGAAAGTGTTTTCCTTTAATACTGTATTTGTAAGGACTCTTTGGGTTGTGACACACAATTTAAACTGCATTGAGGAGGGAACAAGTGAATTATTGGCCAAATAACTGAAAAGTCAAGGATGTAGCTTGATCAGATGAACTCACCTCCTGGCATCAGGAATCTCTCTCCCTCTTTCTCTCTCTCTCCTTTGCTTCCCATTGTTTTTCCTGCATTCTCATGGGGCTGACTCTTCGAATGAAGGGGCAACATAGCTGCTGCAAACAGGACCAGGCACTCATTCTTACAACCTGCTGCACCAACAGAAACAGGGCTGCTCTTACCTGTAGTACCAGAAACTGTCCCCTGATTGCCTCTCCTTAGCCTGCCCTCTGTCATTTGTCCGTCCCAAGCCAGCAACAGCTGCCAGATATGCCTAAAGTTGATCAGCTGCCCATATCCAGAGCTGGGTGCTGAGGGCTCAGCTTCCCTCAAATGGCAGAGGCCTGAACACTAAAGAAAATTAGGTTGCCTGGTGCATCAACAGGCAGAAACAACAGCTGCTCCCACCAAACACCTGCTAACCTTCCATGGAACTGGTTTGTGGAATACTGTACTGCATCTCACTTCCTCCCAAAGCAGCCATTTGCTTCTGCTATCAAACAGCTGTTTAGTTTAATTCAGTGAGCTGGGTCTGAAAAGGTAGAGACACACAAAATGTGCACTGTCCCTCTCTAGCTCCTCTCTCGCGCCCAATGGTGGTCCAAACACAAACAAGTGAGTTTCCTTCTATTGCCATCCAACTGTCTGTTCCCTGCGAGTACAATTCTAGTGGACTTTATTTTATTACTGGAGTATAGTTGCTATACAATATTATTATACTGGTTTCAGGTGTACAATATAGCAATTCGACAATTACATACATTACAAAATGCTCACCACAATAGGTGTAGATACGACTGTCACCATAAAAATGCATTACCATGCTATTGCCTGTGCTCCCTATGCTGTACTTTTCATCTCTGTGACTTACTTATTTTATAATTGGAAGTTCTTCCCTCAATTCTAGTGATTTCAGGAGGAGATGCAGGCCCTATGCTAACTATGGGGCTCAGCTGAGGTTTTTAAAGCCTTGGAATTGTTTGTAAAGCATAGTTGCTCCATCCAAATTTACTTCATTCAAATTAAAAGTCTCTGCTTACCTAATTGTTTACAAAAACCCTCACAAATGAGATTAACATTGAAAAAAAAAAAAGAAAAGACAACAAGATAATTAAGTCTGATTGCTCCAGAGCAGCTTGGTGACAGCTCTGGAAACACGCCAATACTAATTGACTGGAGATATTTCCTGTACAAGTTAATTGCAAATGGTCATTGAAAGCCCTTGAAGAAATCTCAGGTGCCCTCAGCTGAAGTGTGGAGAAGGGATTTAGAAGTGTGAAGGAGACAGGGGCTTGGAAAAAGAACCCACCAGGGATATCTGGTCCTTCCTGTCCCAGAACACTGTGCAACTAATGTCAAACCTTGTCACCTCTCTGGACTTTGGACTTCCGGTCTGTGAAATATCTGCGGGCGGGGAAGGTGGAGAGGTCATGCCAGAGCACACGACCTTCTCTGATCTCCTCCAACTCTGATTAAGCACTGACCATGTGCGAGGCCTGTACTGGGAATGGCAAGGACATAAAGATGCCCAAGTGTTAGTTACTTGAGCAGGCCAATGGGTAACTCTGCACATGGCAGGATTGTTGGGCAGGAAAATAGATATAAGTGGGGTGGAAAGAGAATAAGGTCAGGAAAGCCCACAGTTAATGGGTTAAAGCTCAAAAAGCAGGAGCAACTTGACCTCAAATGTTTGAATATTCCCCAGATAAAGGAGGGTACCTCAGCATAGCCCATGTCTTTATTGTGTTAATCATGCAGGCCCTGCTTATTTTTTAACTTTACCTATATGCTGTTTTTTTACTCCTTTGGCCCTAATCAAGGAGTTTACAAAACCTAGGTCACTAATTTAGCATGCAGGCACAGCCCTGAACAACATAGTAAAAAGCAGGAAGGATTCCATCTTAAAGATTGCATTTTAATACCCAGAAAGTTGAGAAGTACGATTCTGAACTTACTTTATAGCAAACAGACAATAGCTCAGCCCACCTTGGGGGCTGGGCAGGCAGTCTTGTTTGATCTGCCTGCAGACCAAGACCCTAGTATCATAGGGAGAAATCAGAGCAGGAAGTTCCTTGTGTTAAATTAATTCTAAATATTCAGAGATCACTTAACAAGTCTGCACCTCCAGCCCTTAGTCACATTCCTGAAGAATCCTTAAAAGGGGGAACCCCCAACCTTTTGGGGTACTCCTCTCTCTGAGGTTGCCCGCACTTTCTAAGTGCGTCACCTTTTAACTTTAAACTCTCTCTTTTCAACCTTTCAGGGTGCTCCTTTCTCTCTGAGGTCACCTGCACTTTTTCTCTAAGTAACTTTCAATAAAACTTTTACTCTGCTTCACTACTGTGTCTCTGCCCTTCAATTCTTTGCTGTGCTGGGGACAAGGACCAAGGAAAATACACAACGCTCCCCCAATAGGATGAAGTGTAGAGGGCTCCTAGTAAGGATGCTGGTCCTGAGGAAAAGATGGATTGCCCAGGCATGGAAGAAGAGCAGGAGAATCAAAGATTTCGATGGGAAGATTCCATTTAAATGAGGTCTTGAAGAGAAGGACTTCTGTTCTTGGAGGAGCGGAGATCAGCCTGAGCAGAGAAGCATACATGTGCATGGTGTGTTAAGGGAAGCCTCAACATGCTAGTTAGGCCAGAGTGTTCTGCCCATTGAGCGTTCTCTTTTGGTGCCAAGGAACAGACAAAACACTCCACCCCTGTTTATTGTCAGGATTCACATGGGACCAGGAATCTTACAGTGATCTGGGACTCCCCAGGTGTGGGAGGCAGGCGCATGTTTCAGGGTATAAAGCAGCCTAGGGTCCTTTCACTGGGGAGGGTTTCTCTACCCTAGGGCTCTCTTACCCTAATGTAACTCAGCTCTCCCTGCCTCGGGGCCCCTTCTCTGTGGTGACGACCTTCAGTTCACTGCCTCTCGCCCAGCACCAGTGGTTCCTCATAGCTTTGGCCTCCCCATGCTCTGCCTGTGAAAGCTGTGTATTGTTCCCTCTTTCTGCATTTTTGTTTTTCACCTTGGCTCCCCATAGCAATGAATGATTTCCTCCCCACGTATCCAGTTAAAATCCTCAGGACAGCGAACCTGATCAGCCTTGATGACAGACGCCTGTTGCTGACCAGGTTTTGATCACATGTTCAGTCCTAGTGAATCAGACACACGTGCCACAGAACATGGGCACCTGTCAGTGTTTTTCTGAAGCCGTTTGCCTCAACAAGCAGCTATGGGAAAGGACTTGTCAGAAGGGTTTAGGGTATCAGGGTGATTGGTTTGTCTGATGCAAATAAAATAGAGAGACATAAAGGCTTAGGATCAGCGCGAAGAATATTTTGAATTCTAGGCCAGTGACTGTCCATCTTGAATGTGCATCAGAACATGTATTAAGCCTGGCAGGCTACCCCCAGTTTCCGATGCGGTAGGTCTGGGTGGGGCCTGAGAAGTCTCATTTCTGACAGGTTCCCAGGCAATATTGATGTTTCAAGGCCACTTGCTCAGGGACCAGGCTTTGAAAACCACTAAGCTTAATTTAGACTGCTTCCCTGGGCTATTGCCTGTTTGGGTATAGCCTGTGAACACAGGATGGTTTTCCCACTTTTAAACATTTGGGAAAATAGATAAACCACAAAAATGTTGGTGATGTGAATATTATGTGAAATTCAAATGTCAGTGTGCACAAATAAAGTTTTATTGGAACACAGCCATGCTCATTTGTTTACATGTTGCCAGAGGCTGATCTCATGAGACAGTGGCAGGACTGAGAGCTTGCAACAGAAACCACAGGGCCCACAAACTACTTGCGGCCAGGGTTTTTCTGACTGAAGTTGGCTGGCCCTGTTCTGGACTAAAGGGTGTGATAGTATTCTAAATGTGCTGGGGATGTATCTGAAGAGAGATACGTAATTCTAGAAATTCTCTTAAGAAGAGCTTGTCACACTAAATGATTGGGTCCTCGAGTCTCTGGCCTCAGGGTAAAGTGCCTGCTCCCCCACAGGACCAACCCTGGGAAAACTAGCTCAGCCCCCAGCTGAGGCTCTACCTGTTGGAAGCTGGGATGGGGAAGTGAGTTGCTGGACTGCCAGCAGAGCTGAGCTGGCCCCAATCCACAGCTGCTCTTCATACTGGCTTCATTGATCACCATCCATTTCCTGCTTAAAATAATTAGGGAGATTGTGGCCTGTTTTTCCCAAATTCAGGGGGAGGGGATACATGTGACCAAAGTACTTCCTGGCTATCTGGGCTTCCTGCCCTGCATTCGCGAGCAAACTGCTTGGAACCTTCCGGCTGTTACAGTCTGACAGTCTGTGCTCTATGAACTAACTTGAGAGGCAGATAGAGATGAATGGCTTTCTCTTTCTCCCCCGCCATCCTCTCCAGTACTTGCAGTACACGATCTCCCCCTCACCCTCCTTTTCACTCTTCTCCCGTTACTTAAACTGAGCCCAATAATAATAACTAACCCTTAGGGGATGTTTATTTTGTGCCAGGTACTGTTTTCACACTTGTGGATGAATTAATATAATTGATCCTCACAAGAGAACCCTGAAGAAGGCAATGATTACTACTCAAAAAAAAAAAAAAAAAAACCACCAAGTCACAGAGAGGTTAAGTAACTGCCTCATGTCAAATAGCTGGTAATTGAATGATACTAGAAGTCTGATTTCAGGTCCTGCTCCTACCATTATGGGATGTCTCCCCCTCAGCCATGCCGCAGGTGCATGGGGACTGGGAAATGTTACCTTTAGAAGATGAAAAGATGCTGACTCTGGTCTCTATTTGAAATGTAAAAGGTAAAACTTAATTAAGCTTTCCAAAGAAAATATCTCTGTGACCTTGACTAGACAAAAGATTTCTTAGACAAGACATAAAAGAGTTAATAACCCTAAGGACAAAAAAATGATGACCTGGTGAACATGAAAGTCGAGAACTTCGATTTGTCAAAAGACACCATTAAGAGAGTGAAAACATAACCATTTTTTTTTCAATAGGTGGAAGATTTGAACACTCTTCATAGAAAGGATATTCAAAGGGCCATTAAACATACAAACAAGTTCTCGACTTTATTAGTCATCAGGAAAATGCAAATCAAAACAGTAACGTGATACATATACTACACTGCCACTAAATGAAAAACAAAACTAAGCTTGTGATGTTCAACAACCAAATGTTGGCAAGGATGTGGACCAACCAGAATGCTCATCACTGCTGCTGGGAATGTACATTGATATGATCATTTTGTATAACCAGCAGCATCTCCTAGAGCTTAACATATGCATGATCTATGACCCAGCAATTCAGTTCCTAGGCATATATCCCAAAGGAATGTGTACAATATTCATCAAAAGACATGTTTCAGAAATTTCATAGGAGCACCATTTGTAATAACCCCAAAATGGAAACTACCACAATGCACATCAATAATAGGATGTACAAATAGTGTTATATACAGCTGACCCTTTAACAATGCAGGGGCAAGGGCCAGTGGCCCCATGGCACAGTTGAAAATTAACATATAACTTTTGATTCCCCCAAAACTTAACTGATAATAATAGCCTACTGTTGACCAGAAGCCTAAGCAGAGCATAAACAGTTAACACATATTTTGTGTATGTGTTATATACTGCAATATTACAGTAAAGTCAGCTAGAGAAAAGAAAATGCTTTATCAAGTTGTCACGAATCTCACAAAAATTTTGCAGTAATTTATTGAAATAAATGTGTGTATAACTAGACCTACACAGTTCAAACCTGTGTTGTTCAAGGGTCTGCTGTATATACAATGGAATACTATAGAGCAATGATACACACCAAAAACAATATAGATGAATTAATCTTACAATGTTGAGCAAAAGCAGACAGACCCAACATGTATACAAAAATGATAACCTATGCTTGTTGTGCTGTTAGACTTCAGAATGGCAGCCATCCTGGCGGGATTGGGGGTGGAGGTAAGGAACTGGAATGGGGGCATAAAGGGCTTCTGGAGTGCTAGCCATGTTCTATCCCAATTTGGGTGCTGGTTACAGAGGCATGTTCAGTTAGTCAAAATCCATTGTATGGTATTCTTAGGAGCACTTTCCTATATGTGGATTATATGCACATTTCCTGTGTGTTTGTTGATAAGACATTTATAAAATGTTTCTATTGGACAGACGGGCACACTACAGTTCAGACTTGGTCAACTGTCCTGCAGACACAACACTTAGGTTTCCCAACCCAGTGTGTAGGTAAAAATGGGAACCCATTTATGGACTCTCATTAAGTGAGAAGTTATGCTCAGAAAAATCCCCAGTCACCCCCCTTAGAGTACCAAAGATACTCATCCTGAAGGTGGTTGCCAAGCAGGTTCCGAGCAGAGTGAAATCTTGCAAACAACTTATCTTTTTCTGGTTACACGGAGAGAGACTCCTGCAGTCTGATCCTTTACCCACATCCTGGTTGTCAACAGGTTCCCCTTCTTTATTTAGAGAAGAAACTCTCTTTCTGACTAAGCCAACAGAGAAAGTACCTCCTGAGCATTGGCCCTGCATTGCGACATGCTGACAGACATAGGAACTAAAACCACCTGACAGCCAGTCCTAACATCCATGAAGATCAGAGGCCGAAAACAAGCAGGCTTGTCTGCCTCCGCACCTTGTCTTGTTTGACTCTGCGGTATTCAATTTCAAATTTGAATTAGTTGGCAAAATGTAAAAAATCAGATCTCACCCTGAACTCTAATGTCTGCCTTTCTGGAAAAAGCAAGGGCCATTCACCTCCCCAAGGCCCACCACCAGCCCACCCTCCTAGGCCACATTAGGTCTCAGTCCCTGTGGGCATGGGGTTGCAACTCTCAATGTAGAAAATTTCAAAAAACAACAACAAAGGGCCCTTATTCTGATGGATTATGTAACATACGATGCTGGAAATTTCATCCATTGGATCAGCTGACATTGATGAGTCCAGCCCTCTGTTAGGGGCTAAGCCAGTAATTTCAGCATTTGGGCCTTAGTTCCATCATCTTCAGAAGAAGAGAATTGAATTACAGATTTTCTACAGTTCCCTCCAGCTTTAAATTTTGATCCACCGGTAATTTCAATGAACTTCAGAGAAGTATGGTGTAACTATTCATGAGCAGGCCAGCCATTCCAAAATAGCATGGGAGAATCCATGCACAGGGTCCAGCATGGCTTTTCTTAGAATTCTAGTGAGGGGACATAACTATTTCAATTTGTTATAAATTTCCAAAAGTAAATCACACACATGCACTCCTCCCATCACTGCTATCAAATAAGTAACTGACCCTCCTCACAATCGCTCATGACACACCAGTGGGGGAAGACACACAGCTGAGACCTGCTAGCATGAAGCCTGGGAAGGACAGGATGGCTCTGGGAGGGGGGAGAGCAGACTGCCTGGTGCCCTCCCAGGCAGATGCTAATGAGCCTCACCAGCCCTTAACCTCTCTGCCAGAGAAGCAAGCCAGTAATGTGATGAGATGTCACTGTTCATTACAGAAACAGCTGAGTGGTGAGGGGGTGTCCATAAGCACAGACTGGCCTGTGGGGGCAGATTAAGGGGGGCTGTGCTAGGGGCAGAGGACCTGAGGAAGGGGGCAGGGGACAAAGAAGAGCCCACCCCCCGGTCTGCTACCATCGTGCATGTCCACCAGGCAGCTTTTTCCTTACTCAGGCTATGAGGAAAGGCTGCTCAATAGGAGAGCTGCTTTCTGCATACTGCTGGCTGGGGCCTGTGCAACCAGAAGAATGAACCTGGGGTTCACTCTGAGTGCCCCAGCAGCTCCAGAAGATGGGCTGCTACAGAGAAGAGAATATAGGTGAGAGTGTGGACTGGAGAGAAAGGACCAAGCTTCTCCGCCAGTCATCAAGAGAATTCCACTTTCCTCCAGGTAAATCTGACACCCCCACCACCCTCTTTCCTAGGTGGGTTAGGACTCGAGAGCAGTGTGGAACCACAGATTTGGTCTGTTCCAGAGCCCTATAATCAGGAATAGAAACCATACTCCCTTGTCACAGATGAGGCCACTGAGTCCCCAAAGGTCAAATGATTCACCTAAGGTCATTGGACTAAGATTGTGTGGAAAAGGGAGGAAATAGAGCTCTGTTTGCATTTCTGCCTTCTAATACTGGATGTTTCCACAGTTTGGAGATTGATGACACTGGCAGCCTTAGGGCAAGAGGCAGAAAGGAGATTTGTGTGCACACCTGACTCAGTTTGCAGCCTATTCCCCGCTGGCATGCATTCCCTCTCTTTATATGCCAGCCAAGCCTCTTCCCCGTGCAGGCTGCCCCCGCCTTGCTCACTGGGCAGTCCCAGCTGCCCTGGCAGCTGCCTCTAGGAAGTCAGTCCATCTTGTTGCCATGAAGATTCAGTTCACTGTTGTCGTGTGCTGTAGGTATCTTCCCCCTAGATTGTAAGGTTCTCTGGAGTAAAGTCTCTGGGTAATAGGTCATTTTTCTTCTCACTGCTCCTAGTTGAATCCAATGTGTATTATATGTTTCCTCAGTATGTGTCTATAGACTGAGCAAGTTGGTTAGAAATTACCCTAAAATTTTTAACCAAAAAGTACACAAAGAAATATGGAGGGTTTTTTTCCCTTCCAGAAGCAATTTTTTATCTACTTTTAAAAGGAGGGTAGAAGGAAGAGGGTTACTTCTGATCTACAAGTACCTTGGGGGCAAGTTGTTATCTTTACATTTCTGAATCCACTCCCCTTCCCTCTACCCCCTCAATTCTAGCATAATTCCTGGCATATGGTAGGTGCTCAATGAATGCTGGTCAATAAATGAAAAGTAAAAGGAAGATTCAGAGAAGGCAGGACTGAGCGTGCAGCAGTGAGGGACTGTGCTGTCACTGCCCGGCTGGCCTCAGCGCCATCTGCACCTCCATGCTTCACTCTCAGCAGGTGGAGCAGTGGGTGACTGTCAGAGAGGCCAACACTTGTGGGTTTCAGGGATGGCCCTGGTTCCAACAGCAGCAGGCAGCCAATGTGTCCAGGACCTCTTGTTGCTTTCTGCATGCATCAGTGATTTCTTTGATCCGCAGCAGCCTTTAGCAATGCCAGCCACCACTGTGCCCCTGGGCTTGGGAACCTTCTAGCTTTGGTTCCTCCAGCCCTAGGGGCGGTGGTGACTTCCTGCCACTTGTCATCTCTGGGATAGCTCCTCTGCCTCCTCGTGGCTCTTCTAGCCGCCCAGTGCTTCCGTAACATGTTCCATCCAGCGGTTCCCATGTTTGAAGTATTTGGCATGATTTCTGTTCTTCTGGGTAGACTTTGACTGATAGAGGCAAAAAGCCAGGAAAGAGAACAAAAAGAGGGAAAAGGTGAAGGAAAGAAGAAATACATGATGTGACCAGAAGCCAAGCTCAGTTCTGATTGAAAATGGGAATGAATTCAGATGTCATTTGTATTTAATCACAGGAAACACCCAGAGCATTGCTGGAAATAAACAAGACCATCCTTCCTTGAATGATGCTTTGAGGTTTGGACTTTCCATCTTCCCCTCCCCAGCTTTTCTCAGTGATCTATAATCTCATGCACAGCCAAGCAAAGAGTTTCCTTGGGTGTCACCTCCAGCACTTGCATCTGTTCTTCCCATTTTGCAGTGAATGCTCGGGGACCACCTTGAGCTTATTTAGCTCTGAAACCAGACCTTTAATCTTTGACTCTGTGTAATGTGAGACACCAGGAACTCCTGAGAGACTTCGTCGGTCTTGTGGTTTACATCATTTGTTCTTCCTATAAATAAATAAAAACTAATGAAGAACAGTGTGTCTTTAATATGCAAATTCCAGCTTCTGTTGGAGGAGACATCTCCATTTCCAACCGAAACCTGGGGTCATGGATGAAGGCAGTGGGGTGAGGGGACCTGGCAGGAGGCTGGTAAAAGTTCCAAGGAGGCTGGGTGAGGTACTGCTGTGCTGTCACTGCCCTTCTTCCATGCCCTAAGACGGGGAAGGTCATTCTTACCTTCCTCCATCCTACCAAACCCTATCCCTTTCCTACTTGTATGCTCTCTCCTTTCCCCCTGCTCTACTCAAGGTAACTTACATCATTGTAAAGTAGGAGGGGAGGCTATATCCGAGAATGTGCAGGTGGGAATACAGTCAGGGGCTCAAGAGTGTAAGGAGTGCAATGCCCACCACATGGGGAAAGGGAATCCTTGACAAGTTCAGTGAACCCTCCCATCAAGATGCAACAGCAAAGACCTGTGGGGATCCATCGGCAGTTTCACAACCCTAGAAATATCCTGCAGCCAAGGAGTAGAGACATAGGACAGTGCAATTTATTCAGAACAGGGACTCTGCAAAGCAAATGGTCAAGGAGATGAAGAATCCCATGGGAGTTCTGCAGTCAGTGCTGAAATGGCCAACCATGAAGTTAAGGCACTGTAAGGGAACAAACTGCCCACAACCAACAACTTCTGGAAACCCCTCTTTCCTGCTCCACCCCGACTACCTTCCTTGGGAGAGTCTTAAGCTAACAGCCGATTTTCTCCCACGATCTGCCACAGTTTGGAAAGTTGCCATGTTTGATTGTATCCAGTGAAAAAGAACAAGGTTAAAGTCTCAAATCACACCTCTTTTGGTCCTATGTTTGAGCCAGTTCTTATGTTGCTTTGATGTGGTACATGGTGCTGATTCCAGAGTCTTCAATGGAGCTGTCTATGGGAGAGATGGCCCCACACTCCTTTCCTCACAACCACACCTCAAACTAGGAGCATTTGCTGGTCTAGCATAGGAGGTCTGTTGGGCCTACTCACTGGACTGTCACTCGCAGGACTCCTTGCCTTGCTCATGTCCCTTGGCTCCATTGGGTCCACTTGGGAAGGGTCATAAGGGGTTGGACCCAAGTGTCTATGTGTGTGAGGGGGTCGGGGGGCCACAGCTGGAGAGGGTTTAAGTCTGGATTCTGATGGATGTGGGGGTCCTTCCAGGCCCTAAGCCAGAGTAGAACTGGACTTTTGGGGGCGGTTAGCCATCTGTATGCCAACAGGTGAATTTCAAGAGGACCTGAGAGGCCTGGGAAACTCTGGGAGCACTGGAGGCCCAGAATTGAAGGAGGCACAACCACAGATGTGAGCTGGTGGGATAAGGCATGCCCCACAGGGTGCTGCATGCCTGGAAAGCAAGACTCCAAGTCCATGAAATCAGAGGCATCAGGGGCAGCACTGGGGCAGGACCCCTGAGGCAGAATCAAAGCTGTGGGTCTTCCCCACGTGCCTGAGGAAGGCTCAGAGGGAGGAGCCATCTCTAGCTAAGTTAACACAGTTGAGGTCTCTTAGCACCCGTCACCCAGGAGAAAGAGAGGTTCTGAAAAACAAGACTAGGAAGGTCAGTGTCTCGCCTGAGGGTTTCAGCCCTGGGCAAGTTCACTGTGGATTCAGCAAAATCAAGAAATGACAACAGAATGGTCTTGAGGTAAAGGGGTGAATACCCGGCTTTATTCTTGTAGTGGTAGGTCAAGCACTAGGATCATGTCAGCACCCAGCAGTCTGCAGGTCCATAAGCCACCTCGTCTCTGCCTTCTCCCAGAGCTTTGGACCGACCTCTTTATATAGTGACTCAGTCAATAATAGCTCATGGTCTACAGGTGTGGGAGCATTAGACTAACACTAGGCCAATCACATCATCAAGGAATTTAGGGTCAGGAGAGGATCCTGGCCATAGGAACTTCCATTTTTCCCACAGTCAGGAGGACAGCTAGATATGATGACTAAAGAAAGAGCATCTCTAGTTTATATCTAGGGCATATAGCTTAGGCTGGTGGGGGTGGTAGTGAGATGGTGGTGTGGAGGTGTGGAAAGGGACAGTCCATTTGATGAAAAGATGTTTTGTTTGTGATGGAACAAAATACAACTTTCAGTAAGTAAAGTACAGAACCATCCTGATCATGAAAGTGCTTCATCAGCAGGAAGTCAGAAAAGAGCTCAGAACTTTATCAGCTCTGATTTCATTGCAAGGCTTTTGAATGGACTGTAGGGAAATGGAAGTTCCTAAGGCCAGGATCCTTACCTGAACCTAGACTACTTCATGATTTAATTGACCTGCTGCTAGGCTAATACTTCCACACCCATCAGCAATAAACTATTATTAACTGGGTCACTATATAAAGAGCTCTGCCCAGTGCTCCAGGCAGGGACAGAGATGAAGGAGGATTACGGGCCTGCAGGCTGCTAGATACAGACATGATTCTAGTGCTCAACCTATCACCGGTAGAATAAAGCTGGGTATAAACCTTTTTATCCCAAGAACGTTCCGTTGTCATTCCTCAGTCTCACTGAATACATAGTGAATTGCGTGAAACCAATTGGCAAGACAAGGACTTATGTGGACAGTGTATATAATAGGGATGCAATGTAACAACGAGTTTCTCCAAGCACTCTGCTTGACAGAATAAAAGGAAAAGAATTTGGCTAGATTAGGGCAAAGATAAATGAGCATAAATTATGGGTTGTGTAGTTTATCAGTTTGAGTGAGAGAATTAATCTATGATACGTGTGTCTCTAGATGTGTGTGGATATATAATTCAGAAATGGCAGTGAGGCAGCATTAAGGTTGAGAAATGGTGCAATTAAAAGAGTCAAGAGTAACCTCTGTGAAGGCTCCTGCATCATCATTAATTCAGCCACATTATCTCCCACAAACACTGAACAAGGTCCCGCTTGCAGCCTCCAGCCACTCACAGAGGAGGACCAGCTGCCAGCGGCTTCTCGGAGGCTCCGTGGGGAAATCAGTGATTTTCCTACTTGACCAGCCTCAAAATTAACCGAGTCCTGACCAGAGCAGCTGCAACTGTTTATGCACTATAACCCTGAGCGGGCTGGCAAGAAAAAAATGAGAAGACAGTTAGCTACCTAGTGGTGGCCAAGGTTTGTGTTTCCGCAGGCTCTGGGGATCAGGTGTCTGCAGTCTTGACAAGCTCCCAGGTGCTGCTGTCCCTGCTGGTCCCATGACTGCCTTTGAGAAGTGGAGGTCTAGCCTTGGAGGATCAGAATCACTGGCGTCACCTGAGGGCAGGTTAAGAGATGCAGCACTCAAGCCCCACTATAGACCTCCACTGTCATTTCTTGGTCTCACTGAATCCATAGTGAACTTGCCCCATTGGCAAGACAGGGAGGGAACTGCATTTCTCCTCCAAGCCCGCTCACAGGCAAGAGGAGTTGCTAATCTCTCTGGGTGGGTTTAATGGCTATAATCATGGGAACCAAGATCACTTCCTTCTTTTGCCTCCAGTGCCCAGTAAGGCAGATGCCTCCACCTGGACCTTATCCCTGAGCGTCAAGCCTGTGTGAGGCGCACCTGCCGTCTGGCTGGAGGACCAGGCCCCGCGTGTTTGCTCCAGCAGCACCAGCACCACCAGGAGGGTGAAGCAGACTAGCTGTCCTCACTCAGGAGGCTGATGGGACAAAAGGGCTTGGTTGACCCCACAGATCCAGGCATGTCTGTAAGATGAGGAAATTCTGCTGGGCTCCCTGGTCTGAGAACCCAGAAAGAAAGTGAAATGCTTAAGTTTCAGGGTCGCCCTCCCTACAGAGCCCCTGTAATGCTGGGAGTCACTGGGATTTTCCGAGTGTTTTGGGGGTGAGGGTGGGGGTGGGCAGCAGGGGACACCAGCTTGTAATCAGGAAGTGTTTCTCTGCCAACCAGGGTTTGAGTTTTGCTTTGTTTTGCAAACTGCCTGAAGACATTTTAAAAGAAAGGTAGCTGAGTTCCCAAGGCTCTAGAAATTTGTTTTGACAGCTTTCTCGGTCTAAATAAATATTTGTTCTTCTACCATTATTTTTTCTTTTTCTTGAAGTGCGCTTCCACCTACATGACCACTCTAACCCTGAGGCCATCAAGAATGAGAAGTGGCCTTTCTCCACAAAAAGCTGAGATGGTCGACCCCAGATTCCTCTCCCCTCATTCCTGCTTCAAACAGAACGAGCTTTTTCAAAAGCACCTTCACTTCTCAACCAAGATAAAAAGGTTGGAAGCCAACAGTGTCCTTAAAGGGCTTCAGCAGATGGGTTGAAATTCAGAATCTCCTCGAAGTAATGCAGATTCCCTCCACCCCTTTGGAAAATGTCTAATTAAAAACAAATAAAAATTAAAAATCAGCACCATCCTCTGATGTGGCTCATCCTTTGCATGTCAGCTGTGTATCCTCCACTCTCTTTAAAGCTCAAGAACGCAGCCCACCCCCACCCCTGTCAGAGTCCCCTGTGAGTCCGCTAACTCTTCCCTACCACCTTCTAAATACCCATATTCCAGCCTTGGCTTCCAAACACACCTTATCTTCAGGAAATGGGGGAAAACAACAGTCCAGCACTCTCTGGGGACAGTGAGTCAGGGCACAGAGGCTATCACCCCTGCGATGAGCTGCCCAGAACCCAGAGGGCTGGAGAAACTGCCTTGAGTTGTCTGTTTGAGGAAAACTCAGATGCACAAAGGTCAGGCATTTGGGTCAAAGGTCCAGACTTGAAGCCTATCAGTAGAATTGGTTGTCATCAATGCCAGGGTTTTCACTGGGGATTGAATAATGCACTAAACTAGGGCCTTCATTTAAGCCCTAGCTCTGTGCAGCTTTTATCTATTTAGCTAACTAGGTGTGTCTATCTTTATCTATCTATCTATCAATTACCTATCTGTCTACCTATCAACTATCCATCTAAAATACCTATCTATACATATTAAGTGTAACTAATTTATAGCATTGATGTGGAGATTAGTTTGGATCATGTGCATGGAAGCTCTTTATAAACCCCAATGATGTTTGATTTATTAGTGTAGCATTCCTAACAATTTTGGGCCTTCCTCAATGACAAAGAAATCAAGGTAGAGTGATTCGGGCATTATCTTGTCACGTTTCTTCTCACACTTAACTTCCCCATTCAGTCAGCTAGACATTCTGTGTAGTTATCTCAGAAGAAGATTGACAAAATAGCCAAGTCTTGCCTCTCAGATTTGAAATGTGAAGTCTCAGGAGGAAGGGGAGTGATACAGGCCACCAGTGATAGATTTTACACAGGCTGTGTCGAAGCAAGGCTCCTTCCAACCTCACCCCCAGAGCCAGACAAGGAAAGGAAAGAGAGAAGGTAGGGTCTGGAGGAGGCCCAGAGGGACCCGGAAGAAAGACCTGAGTCAACACGAGGAGCCTTCCAAGCTGCACCCTGCGTCACAGAGTAAGCTCTCTATATTGCCAGGACTTGGGGACAACATGGGAGCCGTGAGCCTCTGCAGACCACCCTGCTTCTGCATTTGTGTGAGTGCTATGGAGAAACTCTTTTGCAACCCCACTTGATGTTCAGTGTGTCCGACAGATCATTTGATGGCCCTCTTGCAGAAGTGACACCTGCTATGCCTGATATATATATCTACCATTTAACCCAGTCTATGCACAATCCCTCCTTTGAGCACAGCAAGACATTCTAAGACCCCCGACTCAGAGGATGGGGCATGGACATACCAATGAAGTCAAGGGGGAGGCATGTGAAGCCATGCCCCTGCATCTGTGCCTCAGTCAGATACCACAGAACCATTTCAGGTCTTCCTTGGGATACATACAGCTGTGCCAATTCTGCCAAGAAGATGCACAGGATGGGTGTTGTTACCATGTCTCCCACTGAATCACAAGCTCACCAATGGCCAAGCTTTTGCTGTTGCATGATGCTATGCCCTGAATAGTGCCATCTTTGCCCCCATTGTGATAAGTGGCACAAGGGAGGCAGATGTACATAGTACAAAGAGCTCCACAAGGGAAATAGGAGAGACATGGTCCTTGTCCTGCTGATGATACTAGCTATGTATGATCGAGAGTCTACTGCATACTTAGCACTATGCTGGGCATATAACAAATAATATCCCTTCTAGTACTCACAAGTCTATATGGTACTTATATTATGCCCATTTTAAAGATTTCCCAAGGTCAGGGTGGTGGGCAATGCTAGAGAGACCAGTATGCCTTATAAGGAGGTTAAGAGCATAGACTCTGATTCAGACAGGTGTGAATTTGAGTCCTGGTGCTGCTTCTGACAACATAGTCTCATCTTTCTAGGTCTTAGTTTCCTTACCTGTAAAATGATACATTTGGATTAGAAAAATCACCATTATCCCTTCAATGCCACATCCTATGACTGCAGGTTTTGTTTCCTGAGGGCACAGAGAAGGAGAGGTGAGTTTCGGGGGACTTCAGCCCATACCTGACAATTAGTCAATACCCAAAGGTATATCTGACCTGTCTCGAAATCGTCTTCCCAGAGTCTGTTTGAAGACAGGTGACCTCTAGTTGCTGTTGCTGACACCACTCCTCAGCCAGGGACCAAGCGCGGCCTCATAGCTGTTCATCAGTCAGTGCGTCCAGGCAGTGTGCAAGCTGAAGGTGTGGTGAGGGACAGGTGTTTCATCTCCACTGGCCTTATGCTGTCTTACTGGAGCCAGTGGCTGGAGGAGCAGCAGTCAAAAGTTGTCTGCCTTTTTCTGGAAATACTCTGAGATACATGCATTTGTTTGTTAGAAATAGTGACCAGGAACTCTTACTATACATTTTAAGGGAACACAAAGTTGTTTAGTCTGGAATGGAGGGGACAAAGGGAAGGAACAGGGCTACCTTCTGAGGAGAGCCATTGCTCACAAAGTCATTCCAAGTGACTGAAGGATGTCATGCATGTTGTCTCCAAGGTACAGGGCTGTGAAATGGAAGGTGGATTGTTCTCTATTACTCCAGAAAATGAATGAGAACCAAAGTGTAGAAGTTACGGGGGAGATTAGTTTCAGCTTAGCAGAACAGACAGAAGAGCAGAGCAGATGAACTGATGGGCTTTGGAATCAACCTGTTGGATGACCTGGGGCATGCAATTTAACTTTTAATACCTCAATTTTCTCATATGTGAAGTGGGGACAAAGTATTTAAAGTACTTAGCATTGTGTCTAGGCAAAAATTATTTTTAGTTTTATTAGGATTAGAAAAAGCATTTTATGAAGCACTCTCACAGTGGGCAAGGTGGCCACTGGGTCAGGAGTCAGCCTCTGAGACTGGAAGGTTTGGGTAAATCATCATCTGACAAGGAAGGAAGATCTCAGGATAGAGATGGCCCCTTTCTGACTCCAGGACAAGAAGTCCAGGCAATGATTCCCTGTGTAGCTCATTTACAAGTCCCCTCTGACTTGTGCTTTCAGGACAGAGAGGGTCTTATTTTGCTTTGCTTTGTTTCCCAGAAAAAGGAAAAAGAGCATAAAAATGTGCCAGAAATACAAGAAGTTTTTTTACATGGATCCTCAGGGCAGCAGTTTCTGGGGTCTCTGAATGTGAAAATAAAAGAGCAAAATGCAGTCTCCAGCACTGTACCTGCTTTAGACTAAGCAAGGAAGGTCCCCCCCAACCCCACACCCAGTGTAGTTGCCCATACTAAGTGAGTATCTCCTAACTGTCTCTATGGCAACCCATGGCTGAGAGGCTTTGGCTGCCAGATCACAGAAGGGCACAGTTAAGTATCTCCCCCCAACCAATGCCAGAATACCCACCAACCCCAGTGGATGTAAAATCTTGGTCTTCTCTCCTTTTGAAATAAAGTATCTGAGGAGATACTTCAGCCTGTTAAATAATTTTTGTTACAGCAGCAGAACCCATTTGTATGCTGAAGCACATGAAGTAGGATAATTTTCTTAGCTGTTTTGGTCAAGGACAATACAGGGAGACTGCATATCCTCCTTCCTCCGAGATGGTTCAAAAAGCGTTTCTGGAGAGCAGGGGGGCCTCCAGCACTCCACATGGAACCATGTTTGAAGGTCTACTGGTCGTTAGGTCTATAGGAATTGGAGGGAGACCCTTGAAGACTGGAGAAGTCAAGGAAGGCTTCATGGAAGAAGGGAACTGAATTAGTCCTTGAAGGATTGATAGGAGGTGGTGGAGAAGAAAGTTTCCAAAGTACCATGTCAGACGCATCTTTGGAAAGTTCTCTATTCTAGACTTCTCTATTTTCTGTATGTAGCTCCAAGAGGAGGAGGTTCCCCATCCAGGGCAAGTTTGTTAGGAATCTGCTGAGACTGAAGGAAGACAAGGGTGAGATGTTGGGAATGAAAGGGTTTATTCTCACAACTCAGTCTCTCCTCACTCTGAACCCAGGCTGCTCAGCTCTCTCTCCCCACACAGGGAGGAGCTCTGTGGCAGGCCCCCGGTGACTGGCAGATGCCTGGCCAATCACGTACCAGGAACAGAGGGGAGGACAGATTGAGTGCTTCTCCTCCACCCCTACCCAGGACCAACAATCCCGTAACTGACCAGCCCCTCTGCTACTGGTAAACATCCCGTAAATGTGCAAACATGCTCTTATAAATACACAGTGGGCACTATTAAGGCCAGGCAGGAATCCTGGTCAGGAAGTTCCATTTTTGCCATGCTGTATCCAGATCATTCTCCTTTCTGCTTCACTACTTACTCTCTCTACTCTTTGTCTAAGCTCATGTTTCCTGAGCTTCTCTGAATATTATGGAGGAGAGGGTCTCCATCTAAATCATTCATTGATTTAACACATATTCATTGTATCATTGTATACCATCTGCATGGACAACTCTACATGAGAAAATCAGAAAGCAAAACTCAGGCCCTTAAGGACTGTCAACCTATCAAACAGCCCACTCAGGGGGCCCAGTGAACATAAATAGAGCAAGTATAATTATTTGTTAAAAATAGTACTTTGCCTCTACAAGAATAACATATTTACTGTGAAAAAATAGTGAAATTATGAAAAAGGTAATCTACTATCCAAAAAATTGTATATAAATTTTCATAAAAATGTTACATATACATTTATAATTTTTATATAAATGTATATTTTTTAAATGGCAACATCTCAGTGGCTTAACCCAACAAAAATTTATTTGCTCATGCCACAAGCCTCAGTGGTTTGGAAGGTGGCTCTGCTTCCCATAACCACTCCTTGCCATCTTATTATGCCTCTCTCTTAACATAAAGCTTCATGGGAGGAAAAGAATGGAAAGCTGACCATGGGCAGTTAAATGCATCTACCTTTGTGCAAGTCACATTGGCCCACATGTTATAGGCCAAAGGCAGTTGTATGGCCAGACTTAACCTCAAGGTTGGCAGGGAAATACAAAGCATCCCTGTGCCTAAAAATGAAGGGAGACCCCCTGCTGGTGAGCAGGCTGCTAGGCAGTGTTCCCACATGTCAATGTACCATATCTGTCCTACCAATTCTTCTGCCCTTAAAAAAGCTGATGATAGAGTCAACAATCTGGGCCAAACCTCAGGACAGAGGTCACTCCAGAGGTCAGCTTAGGATCTGAAATACTAAAGTTAAAACCAAGGTCCATAACTGAGGATGGGAAGGCTGGAGAGGGTTACTAGAGTATGAATTCTCAGCTACATCCACACTGCTTAGGAAGCAAAGCAGGTAGAGTGCATTACCAGGAAGGAAATCATTATATCATCTGATGACCATAAACTCCCGCAGTCAAGAGATGGTCCAAAACATCCTTGCCTACTGAGTCTCATTTCAGTCCCTGGAGTCTTCATTGGAAGGATGTCAGGGGTCCCTCTCCTCCGTGATCTCCCCCAGTGCCATCATCTTTCCTCCCTTCCTGATCCTCTTATTTCTCCTATCCCTTTACCTTATCCATCTCCCCTGTTAGTGTCCCCAGCTCCAATCTGGAGAAACTCTACAGGCTTCCCAAGTCCTGAACATTTCCCCTGACAAATCCTGAAGTGTCAAGGGCTATTCTTAGGCACATACAACCACCACAGAAGAAGGATATTCTTGATCCTTTCAAATGGACAATCTATAGCCTTTCTCTTGCTGATTTTGCCCATTTGTGGAGATGCACACAGGGCATTGCTAAGGGGTGCCTGAAAATGGAACTTGGGATCTAAATCAGAACATAGATGTTGAGTGTGAAAGAGTCACCTTAAAAATCTGATTCCATGGATGTGTGCTCAGTGGCTAAAGGGTTAAAGTCATGTTTGGAAGGAAAGTGACCCACCTGCCCTTTGCTAATAAGATTAACCAGAGTCCAAGCCATTAACCAACTCACATTTATACATGAGTGGGGTCACCTGATTTGAAAAGGTTAGGTAACAATCAATCCATCCATCCATCAACCTCTTCCCTCTCCTGCTCACCCCTCCCAGGTGGCACAATCGATGAGCGAACTCAGAGCCTGCCTTTTCAGGCCAGGCCTGATAAAGTCTCTCCTCCCTCTCACCCATCGGAATGCACTCATTGTTGCCAGGTTGAAAGGAGCAAAGACCCCAGGACTTGGATTCTGGATTTGGGACAAGATAGAAGCCCAATTTAGACTCCAAGCTAAGTTTTATAATCTAATTCTGCTCTTTCAGAGAGCTCTGCATTGGGGGGCTGGGTACAAGTGGATTCTTTGTTCCCCATGTAGTTTCTCTTGGCATGTACCTCTTTTGGAGAAAAGGAGACACATCAGAAGACCAGAATTTGGGGATGGCAGAGACTCTTGCCCAGAATATCATTAAAACCTCCTGATTTAAGGCAGCCCAGAGGAGGTGGTTTGGAGCTGAATCGTGAAGGATGATAGAAATCTGACAGGCAGATAAGGGTCCTTGCTCCTCAGGCTCCCTGAGAGGTGGGAGGGGAGCACTAGGGAGTACCTGGGGCAACACTGACTGGGAGCTTTCCTGCAGCCACAATGGCAGACTCTGCTTCTTTGATGTTCTCACCATCTAATTTGAGTTGTTTAAGTGATGGATGGGCTGGGAGGGCTGTTTCTTGGCAGGTAAGGGATTCTGAGCCTGCTGGTCCAGCATGTTTTTGGCAGGCTGTCTGTCTTGATTTGTTGCTTTGAAGGGCCATTGCTCAGAAAGCCTTTGTTTTCAGCAGAGCCTGAGGCTGCTGGGTCTTGTGGGTTTCTGTGCTCTAGCAGGCATGCCATGCCAGGATCAAACTTTATTATCTTTATTATCCAGCCTTTACTAACTCCAAGCCTGAAGGAGGGATGGATCCAGCCGGGCAACTCTGTCCATTCGATGGTTGGTTGGGGTTGGTTGATGGGATGCTGAGAAGGGCTGGAATCTTTGGGTTCACTGCTGGGGACTTGGTGAGAAGCTTGTGAAGTCAGGTGGAGAATGAGACACTTGACAGAGACAATAATGACAAATAGAGTTACATTATATTACATCCATGCATTCAATCACTCCTGCACCAAACATTTACGAAGCTCCTATTTTGTTTCAGGTGTTGGGCACAGATAAGACATGGTGACTGCTTTCCCCAGGAATAAACCAATGGATATAGCATATGAACAGAACACGCCATGTCAGAGGGGAACTCAGGGGCCCTTTGGGGCATGGAAGAGGGTTTCTGCCTTAGCCTAGAGTGTGACATGGTGTGATGGAGTCAGGGAAGGCTCAACCTGTAAGCACTCAAAACACCAGTTTGGACTGTTATTTGGATCCAATGACTATTTCAAGGATGCATAAACATTGTGGGAATGGCAAAGC